GCGAGCTTGGAGCCCCCGCACGGGCGCAGCCTGCAAGAGTGGGTCGGGTGCCTTTCTTGAACTCGGGGGAAAGAGGCCACACAGGAGCGAGGGCTCCGAGTCCCCCGGGGACACAGAGCTGACGCGCACAGAAGCAGCGTCAGGAGCCTGCGCTGGAGGAGAACGGGTCGAAAACGAAGAGAAGTGTCTAGCAGCTAACGCAGACGAAGGTGGGAAGAGGAGCATGGAAGCCACCTTCAAACCGCCGGCCGCTCCTCGCGTGGCGCCTTCCCTTACATAGTAAAAACACTGCAGTAAGACGGCTCCGTGAAAACTTCTTCAGAAACGGAGCTAAGAAAAAAAATGCTGGCAAGAGCCAGGCTCTTCCCATTAACAAGGAACGTTCGCCTCTGCAGAGCGCCAGTGCCGGGATATGGGGAAGCACGCAGCGCGTCTCACACACATTTCTGTGACGTGTCCTCGACTCCTTTAGTGCGAAAGAACGGCCCTCCTCCCAGCGCAGCTTCAAAGGCAGGCTGGACGCACGCCCGGAGCACAAATCTGCATTTCCTTAGCTCTGAAAAACACTCCCTTCTCAAAAACGGAACACGCCGAGACCACGGCCACGCCAAATGCACGTGGGAGCAGAGCGCGGCGCGGCCTGGACCTGAGACAGACAGCAGAAGCGGCCACCGCGCTGCGTGTGCACGGGCCAGTCCGACAGACACCGGCGAGCCACACGCCTCAGCCGCCTTCCCGCAGGTCCACCAGGGTGCACGGCGGCCGGCACCCAGGGCCACGCAGGAGCCGACCAGCTCCGCCCGCACCTGGCCCGCTGACGCGACCCAGCGGAGCTCGGCACCCCGAGCAGTGGCGTCGGGCGTCACTGTCAGTAAGACGTCTCAGAAACCTCAATGCCTGAAAACATAAAAAAGACCCCAGATGTTAGAGAAGTCACCAGGCAGCTCGTCCAGGTGAACACTCGGGGTCTGCAAGTTCCATATTAAAATTAAGTATATTGATTTAATAGTCAAGGCATGCACAAGTCAAGGTTAAACCATGCTTGAAAGGGGATGTATAATCTCCAACCTGAAAGGACAAAGACCAGGGATAAAATGAGCTGAATGCTTTACACAAAAGGCTCAAAAAGTAAACACAAAGAGGAAAAACAGAAGAATAAAACGAAAGCAAAACATGATTATCTAAAAACTGGAAGTCGAAACTTTGAGAAAGTCTCTCTTTTAACCCCTTTTTCAAAGTCTCACTAAGGAATAAAAAAAAATTTCTGGAAGAAAGGAGAAACGTAACTTCAGATAGAGTGTTCTCAAAATCCTAGAGACACGTTTCACACGTCTGCACGCACAGTGTAAACAGCAGACGGACAGACCTCCCGTGGTGGCACAGAGGACGGCGGTGGCCCGGGTGCAGCCCCCGGCCGGCCAGGCTGCCTCCTCCACCTACCCTTGGCCGCACCAACACTGAGAAAACGCGGCAGGCTCTCATGCGGGGAGCGGAACCCCTTATCCTTAGATAGAAGGGGGGCCTCAAACAGACTTCACCGTGGTCTCTGGCAGACACAATGCAAGTGAAGCGGTCGCAGTGTCTGACACACCCTGGAGGAAGGCCAGGCCTCTCCTCCCCTCCTCCTCCTTGCCGCTGGCTGGAACGCCGTCCTGAGAGCTGGAGCTGGCGCTGCCCTGCTGGCCCAGGAGGGGCCTACGGGCCGGAGGCCGAGGATGCGGAGGAATGAGGCAGAACGCCACCCGGCCGCCACCTCCAGACTCAGGGATAAAACACGCTCTAGCACAGCGAGCCCGCTACTGCTCCAGGGCTTGATTCTAACCAGCCCGCATGGCAAGCACCAAAACTGACTCCAGCAGAAACAGAAAAATGGCACCAAACCGTCCAAAACGCTGAGCTGGTCGGACAGCCTGAGAACAGGAAAGGACAGGAGAGGCCGGCGTGGGGAGGGTGTGGGAGCCTGTGTCCTGCAGGGGGAGAGGAGGCGGGAGCTGCTGCCGCTGCACCGTGTGAGCGCTGGGAACAGACTGTCTGCGCTTACAGTGGTCTGACCACCCCGGGAGGCCGGGGGCCCAGCCGAGACCTGGACCCTAGACGAAGGGATCGGGCCATCGATGGAGGGCCACCCGTGGAGGGTGAGTCGCAGGCACCGAGCAGGCCGGTCCTGCCCAGGGTGGGGAGGGGGATCTGGGGTGAAGGCAGACACAGCGGCAGAGCGAGAGCCGCTGCGAGCCGAGGGAAGCCTAACGCAACTCCATCACACTCCCGGAGCCACGCAGCCTGACCGTCACACTCCCGGGCTTCCCATGGAGCCACGCGGCCCGACCGTCACACTCCCGGGCTTCCCATGGAGCCACACGGCCCGACCGTCACACTCCTGGGCTTCCCACGGAGCCACACTCCCGACCGTCACACTCCCGGGCTTCCCATGGAGCCACGCGGCCCGACCATCACACTCCCGGGCTTCCCACGGAGCCACGCGCCCGACCATCCCACTCCCGGGCTTCCCACGGAGCCACGCGGCCCGACCGTCACACTCCCGGGCTTCCCATGGAGCCACACGGCCTGACCCCAGTCACACTCCCGGGGCTTCCCACGGAGCCACGCGGCCCGACTCCATCACACTCACGGGTTTCTCACGGAGCCACACGGCCCGACCGTCACACTCCCGGGGCTTCCCATGGAGCCACGTGGCCCGACCCCAGTCACACTCACGGGTTTCTCATGGAGTCACATGGCCCAACCCCAGTCACACTCACGGGTTTCTCATGGAGTCACATGGCCCGACCCCAGTCACAGAAAGCTATTCAGACTACCAACAAATTAAGATAGGGCAGACGTTTTGGATAAGAGAAAAATGTGTACAGAATTTTGTATCAAAATACGAAAGTTTCATAACACAAAGACGTAAAGTCAGACAAGTGACAGACTGGGAGGACACTTACAACCTGTGCAACATGGGGACCAGATTCCATCAGACACGTAACTGCAATGCATGCGCTAGCCATAGCACACACAGGACATGTTTTGTGACTAGACGCACAAATGAACAGTAAAAAGGCCAGCAGCCCACGGGGTGGCAGGCAGAGGCGTGAACACGCGCTCACGGCCAGCAGCACACAAGGCTCACACAGGGCTCAGCTGCACAAACGAGAGGGCTTGGAAAACGCAGATTTTTTTATGAACTTGGCACCAAAATACACCCGAGGTCCGGGTTCACGTCCTGCCCGGCCGTGAGGGAGACTTTCAGCTCTCCTGAGTCGTGGCACCGGCGCCCTGATCTCCTCTCCGGGGTGGGGGTGGGGGTGGAGTGGGGGGGCTAGCACGGCCGCGGCACAGGAAGGCAGTCTCGGCACAGGAAGGCAGTCTCGGTCCTTCCCGGAGCAGCCACGCCCCTCACGCTCCTGGGGACGTCTCAGCACGCCCCCAGGGCTCTTGCTGGCCCTTTCTCAGCCTGAGCCACCTGCTGCACAGGGCATGAGGTGGCGGCACGGCGATTACGGGCGTGCTGCTGCACGTGGCGTCCCCGGTCCCAGCGTACTGTGGTGGGTTCTGGGCGCATCTGGCCAATCGGATGGTGTGAGAGCACACGCGTGCTTTTGCTTCTGTGACAACCACAGGGACGCCGCCTGACGTTCCGGCCCAGCTGGCTCTGCCGCCCTCACCAGCCGCACCATCGCGGCCGTCAGCGCGCAGCAAACAGGGACATTTTCCCTTCATTCTCCGGTCAGCGGAGCAGCCGAGGACGCTCGAGCAGTCCCAGCATGTGCCACATAAAATCACAGCTTCAAAATGGAAGCCGCAGGAGGCGGAGACCAAGGCTGACGCCAGGAGGGGCACACCCAGGTTTCCACGGGGGTCCCACGAGCACCGCGGGGACAGCCCCACGCAGGAGGAAGGACCAGGATGAGTGACAGCTCCCCAGCAAGACAGCGGCAGCCTGCGGCACTGTCCGGGCCGCGGTGGAAGGGCGCCCTCTAGTGCCAGCCTCAGCTCGGCAGCCTCAGGCCACCGGGCACCTTCAGCACTGACCCAGCGTTCCAAGCGGAATCACCCAAGAGACGCAGGTGCTGATTCACCTGGCAGAGGTGCGTGCATGCGTGCGTGTGTGCGTGCAGGCGTCTGCAACTTCTGTGTAAACAAATGCATAGAACCTCATATATCTGTGTAAACAAATGCATAGAACCTCTTATATAAAACTGGAATTTGTGGCTGACAAAGCAAACTAGCCAAGAAACTTCCTGCTCTTCATCCAAAGTGACTGAAGACAAGCCTTCCCTGGCACCCGAGGCACACACACACACACACACACCCCCCCACGGGCACTGCCGCACGTCTGTAAGGAGGCCCCAGGAGCCAGGCACAAGCAGAGCACCCGCTGGACAGCCAGCTCACACAACGCCTGGCGTCTCGCAGGCAGCCCGGTCCCGCCTTCTACAAGCAGAGCCTGGGAGCAGGGGCGGCCAAGGCTGCAGGGAGCGGACGCAGCAGACCAGGCCCGTGGCTCTGAGCTCCTGAAGCAACCACTGCCCCCACCTCTGGCCTAGGACATGGAAACAGCCCCCACCCCAGAGAGGGCCTGCCCGGCACTTCCTATCCCGGGGAGGGGTGGCCTAGGACACAGACATCCCCCCACCCCAGAGAGGGCCTGCCCGGCACTTCCTATCCCGGGGAGGGGTGGCCTAGGACACAGACATGCCCCCCCCCCCAAGAAAGGGCCTGCCCGGCACTTCCTATCCCGGGGAGGGGTGGCCTAGGACACAGACTTCCCCCCCCAGAAAGGGCCTGCCCGGCACTTCTATCCCGGGGAGGGGTGGCCTAGGACACAGATACCCCCCAAGAAAGGGCCTGCCCGGCACTTCGTATCCCGGGGAGGGGTGGCACTTGTTCCTATCCCGGGGAGGGGTGGCACTTGCACGTGTGAACAGGCATTACCGGTCGGTTTCCCAGGGCGAGCTCGGAGCAGGCTGCGCCCCACCAGCACACGCAGGACCCCGTACCTTCTCTCCGGCTCTGGGGGGCTGCTGTAGCTTCTCATAATCTTTCTTCGTCTCCAAGATTTTTTTCACAAGTCCACCTGTTGAAAACAATCACGTTACAGTTTATTCACTAAGAAGCTGTTTTAATGGGGGAGAGTGGCAGAAATGCTGAATTATTACCCTTTTTCTATACTGGAAAGTTTATTTTTTTTTTTTTTTTTTTTTTATTTGACAGGTAGAGTTAGACAGTGAGAGAGAGAGACAGAGAGAAAGGTCTTCCTTCCGTTGGTTCATCCCCCAAATGGCCACCACGGCCGGCGCACCGCGCTGATCCGATGGCAGGAGCCAGGTGCTTCTCCTGGTCTCCCATGGGGTGCAGGGCCCAAGCACTTGGGCCATCCTCCACTGCACTCCCTGGCCACAGCAGAGAGCTGGCATGGAAGAGGGGCAACCGGGACAGAATCCGGCGCCCCGACCGGGACTAGAACCCGGTGCCCATATGGGATGCCAGTGCTGCAGGTAGAGGATTAACTAAGTGAGCCGCGGCGCCAGCCTGAAAAGTTTCAAATAATCTTTCCATTTGACAAAAGACAGCCTCCAACAGAACAGCCAACAGCTGCTGGAGGAGACGCTGCAGGGAAACAGGCTCCTCGCGATTCCTTTCCTCGTGCCCGGAGGAGCAAAGCTGGCTGCCGGGACCCAGGGCAGGGCCGTCCCGAGCGTGCTGAACACCGGTCCTCCTCTTCAACCCGGCACGGCGCCAGCGCCTTTGTTAGGCGGGGTAAACATCGCATGCAAAATCACTTTCTCAAGACACCGCTCCATCCCACGCACGCGCCAACACCAGCCTGGCTGCATCACGGCAGAGCCACGTGCGGCCGTGAGACAGAGGATGGCCGGTGCCCCATCTGCTTCACAAAGCACCGGCAAAGACAGTCATTGAAAATGAAGCAGGGTGGCCACGAGGGCACGTGAGCACATGCCCCCGCACGCACCCATGTCATTAAGGAATGGAGCAGAGGCCACACTCTGGGCTCTCACACAGGTGAGACGGCCGTGTTGTGTACATTTGACCCTAAAACCACGCGTACGTGTCACATACCCACACACAAAATTAAAAGCACCAATGCCCAGAAACTGAAAGCAAGATAAACAATAATACCAAATTGGCCAGCACACACCAATAGAGAGTTATTTCATAACTTTAAAACAGAGTAATGCTTTGTACATCCCCAGTGCAATACACCCTAAAGACAAAAAGACAAACAGACGCACAGCACAAATCTGAAGCATTATCAGTCACCTGCTGGCACAACGCGCTGGCAGTGGCGGGCGGAACTGCCTGGTGCACGTTGTCAGGTACATTAGACCAACAGCCGAGGCTGCTGGGAGCAGACAGAGACACAGGTGCAAAGCCAGGAACACAGGCAAAACCCTGCCTTGCTACACTGTACGAGCTCAAGACACATTACATGCATACATGTATGTCTGTGATGTCTATGTGCACACACACACGTGTCTATGTTCTGGGTTCATACAGTGAAAATTTCCAGAAACAACGACCAACCCAGGGGCAGCAAATACATAGTGAGCCTGAACCGTCCTGTGCTATCAGAAAACAAGGACGCTACGTCTACTGCATGTGCCACACGGTCCCCACAAGGTAACGCAAGCGGGCTCCCGCTGTTAACACTAGGCAGGCTGAACACCAGTTAAGAAAAGCTGAGATAGAATGAGACAAAACACATCTAACAAGTTAAAATCCATGGCCTCAAATACTTGTAGACAAAAACAAACCAACAAAAACCACCCAGAGCCCTGCTAGGGGCCAGGGACAGTCACTCAGGGGAGGGGAGGGGAGGGAAGAGGCAGCCAGCGTTCCTGCCTCCGCTGCAGGGGCTGTGCCTGGGGGAGGGGGAGGGACCCAGGGTCTCTGCTCTCCAACCCTCCAAGAATAAACAGCCCTGGGCCAAGGCCACGGGCAGAGTCCCACACGGTGACCACAGCACTGTCCAGCACTGTCCGAGATGCACTCCCGCCACACCCGGACTGCAAGCCTCCTTATTTCCACTGCTGTGGCTGAGTGTCCTTGGTCCCCTCCGAGGCTCCCGTGCTGGGAGCCTGATCCCAGCGTGACACCGGCGGGAGTGAGGAGGCGTAGGAGGTGGGGTCTAGAGGGAGATCCAGGGTCACCCGGGGGTGAGCTCTCAGGTGGCTTGAGATTCTTACAAAGCCTGAGGGCCCTGGACTTCCGCCACACACACACACACACACACACACACACACACACCTGCCATCACGCCATGTTTTCACTTTCAGCACCCAAAGTGGAAGCTAAAAAACTCCTTCCCAGTAGCCTGCCTTCAGTATTTCCATTCAGTGACAAAAAGCTGATCAAGAACTGGCAGGACACAGAGAAGAAAACGGGCAAAGACACCAGAGAGATGATGAGCAGCACCCAACGGGGAGAGAGTCAAGGGCAAGCCGGCCAATGCTTCCTGTGGGAACACAGCACCGGGGAGAGGGCTACGGGCTAAGAGATGGGCGAGTCGCATGAACCAGCTGCAACGAAGGGCCTTCTCTGAATCCTGACTCACACAGACACACCAGGAAAGCAAACAGCCCACCTGGGAAAACCAGGCACTTGATGACACTAAGGGATTAGGGTTAAGTTCTTCGACACACACGATGGGTGTCTGGATGCGGCCACTTCCAGTCCAAGAGTCCAGGCCAGCACCGCCCACCAGCTGCTGGCCTGCTTCCGACCAGAGCCTGGCACACAGCTGCAGGTGCACTGCGGGAGGCACTGCACATGCACACGCATGCACACGCATGCACACACGTGCATCAGAACTCACCATGCTTCTCGTCTTCCTCAAGTTCTGTTGCTGGTACCTGAGCAGGAGAGGAAGAAAGAAGATTCAGGTTTGCCGAATTCTCAAGATCGGGTTCCCAGGCCCCTGCTGCGGCACTCACCATCTCCATTTCCGACATCTCCAAGAGCTGAGGGGCCGCTTCCACCACAAACTGCTCGTCCTCTCCGTTGTCGGAGTTCTGCGAGTCCACGATCACATTCGAGACGGTCTTGCCACTCCCTGCCCTACACAGGAAGAAAGGAGCCCACGTGAGACACGCTGTGTCACTCACAAGTTCTCATCAGCGCCGTGCACCTGCAGCTGCCCAGGAACCGGCGGGAGCCGAGGCAGATGCCTGGGAAACGCGTCCCTGGGGACGGCCTCCAGGCCCAGGCGCCCTCAGCTGCCACCACGGCCGCCCACAGCCGGCCTGGCCTGGGGAACAGAGGCTCTGGAGCCCGTCTCCCCACAGGCCATCTGAGAGCAGCGTTGCTGCAGCCCCCACCTGGGGTGGCCTGTTCCCCCAAGGGGCAAACCTCATGGCAGGAGTGGCACTGGTGGTCCTGTGTGCCCGGGCTCTCCCCAGACCTCGTCCCTTCCAACAGCAGCTCCTCGGGGCCCCTCACCTGGCCCCGGCCACTGCCATGGCCCTGTCTGTGCCCCACACCTCACTGAGGCACCCACTATCCCCCCCACCCCACCACCATTCCTGGTGAGTCAGCGTCCAGTAGCCCGGCACAGGAGCGCTGGACCTGTCCCCCCTTGTGGGCACCACCATCCAAGGGCTCTCTTGCAGCCACACTGGGCTCTCGGCCCTGTTGCCTGCCCACTGCAGCTCGCCACCAGCTTCCCTGAGGCACCTGACCCCCTGCACCAGAGCCCTGACCACGGGCTCCCGGAGCCAAACACTCCGCAGGCTCCTCGTCAGCCCCTCCTGCCTTCAGCTCTTGCCTGTGCAGTTCCCACCGTCAGGGCGCAGGAGGCGGGCACAAGTGTGTGCACAGAGCGTGCGTGCTGGCCTCTGCCTCTGGGTGCAGCTGTCAGCACGCCGTCTCCAATGCCTGCCTCTACTGCACCTGAAAACTGCCACCCTGACCCAGCCTGGCAGGACGCTTCACAACCTTTTATTTTTATGTTGCAATTAAACCTTTAACCCTCTTCTTCCTAGTTTTTCTTCATTGTTCTGATGCTTAGTAAGTCTTCTGTGGTGCGGACAGCGCTGTGGCATAAAGATACCACCTGCAGTGCCAGCATCCCATATGGGTGTCAGTTCTAGTCCCAGCCACTCCACTTCCGATCCAGCTCTCTGCTGTGGCCTGGGAAAGCAGTAGAAGATGCCCAAGTCCTTGGGCCCCTGCACCAGTGTGGGAGACCTGGAAGAAGCTCCAGGGTCCTGGGTTTGGATCAGTGCAGTTCCAGCCATTGCAGCCATTTGGGGAGTGAACCAGCAGATAGAAACCCCCCCCCCTCTGCCTCTACCTCTCTGTAACTCTGCCTTTCAAATAAATAAATAAATAAATATTTGAAAGAAAAGAAGAAAGTCTTCCACGAAGAGGTCAAAGACACACAGCCTGATGTTTGCCTACGTGCCCTGGGGGTTCACTTTACACAGAGCTCCGAGCTCTGGGGCGAGGGCCAGCCCTCACGTCCTCATCCTTACACAAGTTTCCCAGCACCTTCTGCTGCGCAGGCCAAGGCTCGGCCCTCCCACGGGCGGCACGGCCTTACCTGTCAGTCGCTAACACCTCCGCGCTGTCTTGCCGTCTGACCCGGGGAGGCGCCGGTCTTGCACTCCCAGGCCGAGGAATTCTTCTAAACCCCACGTTGGAAGAAAGCAAACAAGTGACAGGAAACACTCATTTCAAGGGAAACCACAGAGACCCAGACTAAGGCAAGCGCTAACCTGCAGGCCCCCTGCGGAGCTGGCTGTGCCAGTGAGGGCCCACTCTGCAGGGCGCGGAGGGCCCACTCTGCAGGGCGCGGAGGGCCCACTCTGCAGGGCACAGAGTGCCCCTGTGGCCCACAGGGTACAAGCATCCAGCCTTCAACCCTGTCTCTGCAGCCACTTCAAGGCACCACACAAGTAACACTAAGCAAACAGCACGCTTCAGCTGTAACTGAGTTTTCCTCAATCTATGAAATGGTCCTCAGGGCTAGTATCGGGTGCATGAAAATGACATTAAACAGTGCTCTTCTTCTTCGTGGAAACAGTTCTGATAACTCAGCTCAAGCATCAGGTAGCAACCCAGGCACGGTGGGAGCAGCACAGCAGGGCCCCCGCGTGCTCACCCCCAACACGCACCTGACGGTGGACGAAAGCCCGTTAGGGACTTCCGCACTCTCGGACGCCTCGGATTTGTCTTGGCCAGCAGGGCCGGCTTCTTCTAAGCAGAAACACAAGCAACGAATACGTATTTAGTTCAATATCAACTCAGACTTAACGCGAATGTCAACACTGGTTTATCAGTTAATTCAAATATATTTGATCTATATATAAACAGTTAATTGGTTACTTAATTCAAATATTGATTCAAATATAAATATTTAAAAAACAACGATCAAATAATTACAATGAGCTAACTTTTAACTATCGTTTTTTTGAAAGGCAGAGAGACACAGAGTCAGAGAGTTCCCGTCTGTGGCTCACCCTCCGAAGTGCCCATAACAGCCAGGGCTGGAGCCAGGGGTCAGGACAAACCCGGGCTCAATCATGAGGGTAGCAGGAACCCCACTACCTGAGCCATCACCACTGCTTCCCAGGGTCTGCGTTGCTGGGAAGCTGGAGTCAGGAGCCAGAGTTGGGAACCGAACCCCCACGCCACACTGAAGCTTACACACATCTCACTCACTGCAGGTTACACGCATCTCACCCACTGCAGGTTACACGCATCTCACCCACTGCAGGTTACACACATCTCAACCACACCTCACCCACTGTGGGTTACACACATCTCAACCACACCTCACCCACTGCGGGTTACACACATCTCAACCACACCTCACCCACTGCGGGTTACACACATCTCACCCACTGCAGGTTACACGCATCTCACCCACTGCAGGTTACACGCATCTCACCCACTGCAGGTTACACACATCTCAACCACACCTCACCCACTGCGGGTTACACACATCTTCACCGCTAGGCTAAACACCTGCTCCCTCCTCATCTATCCTTTCCATTAAGACAAAAAAAAAGTTGGTACCTAAACTGGGTGAAAATTTGAGGATGTGGGCACACTCAAACCCTGGAAATGCAAACTGGTTTACTACTCAAGAAATAATTCAAAAGTAGGTCAATCAAATCAGCAAGTGCACTTCGGGGAGATACAACCTCAGAAAACAAAGGACAGGTATAAATACACACGTGTCGAGACACCATCATCACTGCTAAGAGTGACAGTCGGTAACAAGCAAACCACGGTACAGTCACACCCTGGGCTCTCGTGTAAAACGTCATTATTTGGGGCCAGCGCTGTGGCGTGACGGGTAAGCCACTGCAATGCCAGCATTCCGTATGGGCACCAGTTTATGTCCCAGCTGCTCCACTTCCCATCGAGCGCCCTCCTAATGGCCTGGGAAAGCAGAGGAAGATGGCCCAAGTCCTTGGACCCCTGCCATCCACATGGGAGACCCAAGACCTGGAAGAAACTCCTGGCTCCAGGCTTTAGCCTGGCCTGGTGTTGGCCAGGTGGGGCACCCATGTGGGGGACCTGGAAGAAGCTCCTGGCTCTTGGCTTCCACCTGGATAGCCATTGCGGTCACCTGGGGAGTAAACCAGAGGATGGAAGATCCCTCTCTCTCTGTGACTCTGCACAAAAATCATGTTAATATATAATTAACACAGTAAATGATGTATCTCCTAATTATATACTCACATATGGAGTTCTGGAAAGATACTCATTCCAGTGGTAAGCGGTAAAATTACCAGTGCTTTTTAGTTTGTTCTTCATACTTTTCTGCATTCAAAAATTGTCTACATTGGGTATGTACCATATTATTTTGAAAATCAGAACAAAGTTTTCTTCATTTTTACAAAGAGATTTAATCAGTAAATCACAAACCCAAACGACTAAGCAATTAAATTTACTATGCAATTTAAAGTAAAAGAAATTCCTACCTCGGAAAAATGGTAAGAAAAAGATCAGATTTTGAATACTGGAAGTGTACTTCACACTCCTGGAAAGAACCCTGAAACGCACTCTCTTCATGCAGGGTAACAGCTAAAGCATAAACTACACCCTAAGTGGTAAGGCGGGGACAGGTCCCCTCAGCATAAACTACCTACGTGTACGACTCACCACGTACACAGGAGGCCTCACCTGCATCGCTGCTGGAGTCACCTGAAAAAAGAAGGGCGCGTGTCAGGAAAGCCAGGTCCGTGCTGGTGACCCTCAGACGCCACGTGACCAGAACAGACTCCCAGAGATCAGCAGTCATTCTGGGTGTCCCCAGGAACGAGGCTACTTCGGGACAGCCTTTCTAGGGGGCCGCCCGCTGTGAGCTCTGAACTGAGCACCAGCAAGCACACACAGACAGGAAGCAGAGCGGGACAGCGCGTCCCGGAGGTCCGCCACGAGACAGGCTGGCAACGCAAGGAAGCCCAGCACACAGCACGTCGCCGCGGGGGTCGGCCGGCAGCGCTGAGCCCCAGGGAGCGGGGAGGAGCTCCCAGGCCGCTCCGGGGGCTCAGCCCGCGTGACACACAGGCCCACCTCTCCCTTCAAGTGCTGAGCTTTGGGGACAAAGGTGGCCCACGCAGCCACAAGCAACTGAGCGGCAGCACGGCAGGGCTGGGCGGATTCTAAGCCATGGGCCACAGGTCATGTCAGTCCCGTGAGCCCCTGACCACGCCTGAACGCGTCGGCAGGGCCCCGTCACCTGACAGCAAGGACACACTGAGGGGGTGACACAACACCTCACTGCACGTGGCCCCTCCAGGTGGCTCCCACACGGCCCAGAGAAGTCGCCCACGCTACACAGAGTGAAAAGCACCCCAGGACACCTTGAGTTTGCAAAAACCACAGCCAGAGCCCCGAGAACACCCTGCTGAGAGCGTGGCCCCGCGTGGGAAGGGCGGCCACGCTCGGGGGCCCGTGGGACCCGGGAGGCTCCCTGGGATACTGGGTATGGCCCAGTAGGCCCAGAGGTCACAGAGTGACCCGCACACAGGACAGCCTGGCGTCTGCCAGGACTGCAGGACTTGCAGGGCAGTGAGTGGGGGCCTGCAGAAGCTGGCTCCAGACAGGACGGGTGAAAACAGCCATGCTGGGGCCATGCGGCCCCGTGGGGACAGTGGCCACTGCAGTCTCGGAAGCCCCAGGACAGCTCCCTGGGGCAGTACGTGGGGGCCAGCTCCGTCCTGGGCTGCACTGTGGAGGAACAAGTGCAGGGCGGCAGACCCCGGCCTCCGTCCTCTGCGCCTCGCACTCTGGGGGTGGGCAGCACCACTCCACGCAGCCGGGACAGGGCTCCTGACTTGGGGGGGGGGGGCAGCACCAGCTCCATGCAGCCTGGGGCAGGGCTCCTGACTCTGGGGGGGGGGGGGGGGCAGCACCAGCTCCACGCAGCCCGGGACAGGGCTCCTGACTCTGGTGGGGGCAGCACCACTCCACGCAGCCGGGACAGGGCTCCTGACTGGGGGGGGGGGGGGGGGCAGCACCAGCTCCACGCAGCCCGGGACAGGGATCCTGACTCTGGGGGGGCAGCACCAGCTCCACACAGCCCGGGACAGGGATCCTGACTCTGAGGGGGAGGGGGCAGCACCAGCTCCACGCAGCCGGGACAGGGATCCTGACTCGGGGGTGGGGGGGGCAGCACCAGCTCCACTCCTGACTCTGGGGGGGGGGGGGCAGCACCAGCTCCACGCATCCCGGGACAGGGCTCCTGACTCTGGGGGGGGGGGCAGCACAGCTCCACGCAGCCCGGGACAGGGCTCCTGACTCTGGGGGGGAGGGGGCAGCACCAGCTCCATGCAGCCTGGGACAGGGCTCCTGACTCTGGGGGGGAGGGGGCAGCACCAGCTCCATGCAGCCCGGGACAGGGCTCCTGACTCTGGGGGGGAGGGGGCAGCACCAGCTCCACGCAGCCCGGGACAGGGCTCCTGACTCTGGGGGGGGGGGGGCAGCACCAGCTCCACGCAGCCGGGACAGGGCTCCTGACTCTGGGGGGGAGGGGGCAGCACCAGCTCCACACAGCCCGGGGCAGGGATCCTGACTCCAAGCCTCAAGGTCTCTGTCTTCAAATCTCAAGCTCGGGGAGGGCGCTTGGCTAGCGTTAAAACAAGGATTCAAATGGCCACGTCCCCATCAGAGGGCCTGGGTTTAAGTCCTGTCTCACTCCTGACTCCAGCATCCCGCTGGTGTGTGCCCTGGGAAGCCACAGTGACGGCTCCAAGCAGCTGGGCCTCTGCCACGCATGTAGGAGACACGGATCGAGGTCCTGACTGCCAGCTTCCGTCCAGCCTACCCCAGCCATTGCAGCCATCTAGGAAGCGAACCACCGGATGGGAACTGTCACTCAAATTAATGCAAAACAAAACAAACACAAGCTGTTGCGGGCACTGGAAACGGAACCCGGGCCCACACAGCACTCAGAAACGCTGCTCTGAGGCAGGGCCGCTAAACCACAAGGCCAACACTCGAAGCACCAACGCACCCGTCACAGACAGGGCCCCTCACCAATCAGACACCAGGCCCTGTGTCCCGGTCCCAAGGCACCCCCCACGTAGCCAACTCCTCCCTGGTGACCACCTGCCCACCCTCCAAGGCCTCAGCTCTCCTCTCGACAGCAGGCCAGGCCCCAGGAGTCTGAGAGGTCGCAGAGCCCCTCATTTCCCGGCCACAGCCCAGGCTCCCTCCTTTCTCTGGACTACCCCCAAGCCTCGCAGACCAACAGAGGCTCTCTAGGACGCTGCCGCCCTCCTCCAGAAATAGCCCTGGCCTCTGCCGAGCTCCCTCGCCCGCTCCCCAAGGCCCAGCAGGCACCGCTCTCAGCTCCCGCTGCGGAAGGAGCTGTGCACCTGCAGGTCCTCCTGCCCGGCAGGCTGAGCCCAGCCACCCTCAACCCCAGGTCACCCCAAGTCCCTCCCACCCACACTCCCTCGAGCCACCTCTCGTTAAATGGCTTCATTTTACCTCTGAGGCCTCCTCTCGGCTTGTGTGCAAACCCCAGGGAGACAAGAGCCCAGCCTGACTCCTGCTCACCAATGCATCCCTGCCTAAGGACCTGACACACAGTAGGCCTTCAACAAAGAAATCCACAAAGTCAGCCTCCACCTGCCCGCCAGCACTGGCACCATCAGCCTGCCAGCAGCTCCGTGAGAAAGCAATACGAAGCGTGTATTTTAACACACGTATTAAACGCCGGACGATTTATGCCAAAAGTAGAATCTCACTGAAAGGTCACGACAGACGGAAACTGCAGCAGCCACAGCACCGGGAGCTTCCACGCAGAGACCCTGAGCCCTGCGAACACGGGCGGTGGGCGCTCGGCCCGTCTCGATGCCCGAGCCCTGCGTCAGGAGTGCCGGGGCCCGGCTCCTGCCTCCACTTCCTGGGTGTCGCCTCAAGCGGCTGTGTCCCCGCCACGCACGGGGGAGACCCGGATGCAGTTCCCAGATCCCAGCTTTGACCGGCCACCCCGGCCACTGTGGGCATCTGGGGAGTGAACCACAGGACAAGAGGTACCTAGCGCACGTGTTCTCGCTCTCTCTCTCTCTCTGCTTTCGGTCTCTCATATACATAAATACATTTTTTAAAAAAAAGGAAAAAGAACACACGGCAGGGGCGTCGACGTGAGTCCCATCAACAGTAACCTTGTTCAATTCCAGTTCATGCGGAGATGCAGACGCGAACCCCTGGAGACGCCCAGGCCCGGCTGTGCCCGTGAGAGGGGCCCTGGCCCCTGGCGCCACTGGAGAGCCCGCCTGCTCTCACCAGGAAGGTGCAGAGAGAGTCCCTCTTACCTCGCTGCTTCCCGGCCGTCTCTGGCTCAGCACTCTCCTGCCACAGACTAGTTGAATTATCATCTGAAATACTAGTTGAGTTAGTATTGGCTTCTTTTGTTCCTGACATAAAACAGTTTAAAATTGCTCGCTGAGACTGTACACTGAGGGCGGCGATGAACGGCTAACACAGGGCACTCTGACTGTGTCTCCCACACTGCAAGTTTCCAAAGGGCTGACCAAATTATGCATCTGGAAGGTTCTTCCCCCACATGTGGCTCTGGGTTTGGGTGAGAAGGCAAGGACACCTTGAACGGGAGAAGGGCCAGGACCCCCCAGCCCGGGGAGACGCAGATGGCCCCACTTCCCACTCCTACAGCCAACCTCCAGCCAGCGTCCAGCAGCTGCGCGTGGTGGCCACTCAGAACAGCAGGAGGGAAACAAAAGCATCGTGGCCACGGTGCATCAGCCCGGACACCTGCCCACTGCACACTGATCTGCTGACCGCTGAGAACAGAGACAACCAAGCACCCGGGAGACGCGCCACTTTCCCTACCCAACGCAGAAGGAGTAAATGACCTTCCTTACCAAACACCTGAAAGATCAATGATCCCTGTTAAAAATAAAAAGGGAGACGAGGCGCTGGAGGACACGGCAGGACCCGGGGCTGGAAGCCCACAGCCCCACTCTGAGAAGAAACCAGATGAACACAAGGGGGGACGGTCCCCTCTCTGAAACGCAACCTCTCATTTCTTAAAACTATTCAGAACATTTACATCAGAGTCAACCTGTCATAACCATCAAGTAACTATTTAGGTAACAGAGCTATATAAAGCAGACAATGCATAATGCTGTAAGGAAGATTTTTACAACCATGAAATATCTGATTCATAAAGCTCACTATTTATATTTTGTAGAGGGTAACCAAAAAATAAACATAAAATATTAAGTTTAAAAAACCCTAAAAGTGAATATAATCTTAGCAGTTGAGGATTATTAATTTTAGAAGAAAACACCCTAATAACCTCACGTTGTAATATTTAATTTGGAAGGGTCAAATATTTCCTAGGTTCTACAAAGCCCGGCACGACCACCAGTAAACCCACACGCATCCTCTCCTTTCCGTACTTCACGGAGTCGATGGCCTTTGAAGACAACTGCGTCTTTTCAAAGTTCTAGCAGTACTCTTAAGTCAGTCTTACTAAACCCCAAGTCCACGCACACGGAAAGGATGTCTCGCTATTACTCGCTAATAACACCATCATCAACTCTGAATCATAGTGGGTAGATTAGTTAGCTCGTCAACTAGCAGCTCTGAGAAAATAACGTACCTATTTGTTTTGAAATGGCTATAAACTGGCAGAAGAAAGTCACACCGTCCGCCTCATCAGCTGTCTGGACTCCCTGGTAACCAACGACCCTCGCAGGGGAGGGCGTGGGCACAGTGACAAGACTTCCCAAGTTCCACCCAGCGCCCCACCTCCCAAGCCGCACAGCCCTGGGCCACAGTCGCCAGCGTAGGATAAGACGCACGTATAAAACCAGTCCTTCTCCACCCATCGTTCCTCCTGGCACCAGCACACGTCACCCTCCAGGCTCCAGGCAAATGGCAGCTGCGCTGAGCTGGTGAACAGACCCAAGTTTAAACGGGATCCAATAACCAGTGGTTTCAAAACCACAAAACTGCACAACGTAACACAGCCTGGCCTCAGGCGCTTCCTTGCCTGTGTGGCTCTGCGGAGTCTCCGCCCCTGAGCTGCCTGCTGCCGCACAGAGACACGGTGCCAGGGCGTGCCTGACAACTCTGAAACGGTTCCTGCAATGAGGTGGATGCGCCAGAACGCTAGGCCTACAGGGCGTTAATTTACTAGTCTTTCTACGTTTCTGTAGTTTTTAATAATAAAAGAGCTTAAACAGTAAAACAAAAATGGAATGAGAGAAAAGAAGCCAAACCAAAGATAGGGGCTAACGTTCCAGAAAAACCTGGAACTGTCAAACAACCACATATCACAGAGAGAGCAACGCAACACAGCGTGCAGGGAGGAACGCGTAAGCTCCACATTAAACTCATCAATCTGTCCAAAACAGCAGAAGCGTAACAACAAAACTCGCAAGTTCTCCTAGGCCAACCTTGATGAACCAGTGCCAGTCGGGTCCTGGGAAGCGGGGCCCGAGCGGGCAGCTCAACAGGGCCCACATGGCTTTCCCTTTGCAATTCTAGAAGAAGGCTCAGACACCAGGCCCAGTGGCAGCAACTGGCAACCACGCTCAGCGGAAGAAACCCACTCAGGAACCACAGCCAGCGCTGCAAACTGAATCACGAAATGCGATGATCCAGTGCAGGACAACACTGTGGCCACAGGGGCAGGGCCTGGCACGCACATGGGACCTGCCCACCCCCAGCTGGTATCATATTTCCTTCTGGCCTCTGCAAAAGGATGAGCGCTCAGCCCAGTGGTTAAGGCCCCATCAAGACGTCAACATCCCATAACGACACCTGGCTTTAACATCTGGCTCTGCCCCCTGACGTGGCCCTGGGAGGCAGCAGAGACCGCTCAGTAGCTGGGTCCTGCCAGAGGCCCAGCCTGAGTTCCCAGCTCCTGGCTGCAACCTCCGCACAGCCCTGAGCTCCTGCGGGCATCTGCAGACTCAGAGAATCAGTGATTCCAGCAAAGAACTCCACCAAGCGACACAGACGCGATGCATGCTCTGCAAAGGTGGAGCGGACGCTGCTCTCACACTGGCACGTGGCATCTACAGACTGCTCCCGCATGTCTAGAGAATTACTACCGGCACTCGCACTGTAACACAGCAGGTTAAGCCGCCACGTGTGACAGCAGCATCCCAAACAGGTGCCGGCTAGAGTCCCGGCCGCTCCACTTCCGATCCAGCTCTCTGCTGTGGCCTGGGAAAGCAGTGGAAGAGGGCCCAGGTCCTTGGGCCCTGCACCCGCGTGGGAGACCTGGAGGAAGCTCCTGGCTTCAGGTCAGCGCAGCCCCATCTGTTGTGGCCATCTGGGGAGTGAACCAGCAGATGGAGACCTCTCTCTCTCGCTCTCTGCCTCTCCTCTTTCTATGTGGCTCTGACTTTCAAATAAATAAATAAATCTTTAAAAAATAATCAACTATATAAAAAAATCAGACATGAAGCCAGCTGAGCCCACAAGAAAAAGTGACCTTTCCCTCGAGTCAAAATCAACTGTATTTCCTCCATGAAAGCAGCTCCAGAGCCCCAGACCTTCCGGAGGACTGAGAGCCCCAGACCTTCCGGAGGACTGAGAGCCCCAGACCTTCCGGAGGACTGAGAGCCCCAGACCTTCCGGAGAGACTGAGAGCCCCAGACCTTCAGGAGGACTGAGAGCCCCAGACCTTCCAGAGAGACTGAGAGCCCCAGACCTTCCAGAGGACTGAGAGCCCCAGACCTTCCAGAGGACTGAGAGCCCCAGACCTTCCAGAGGACTGAGAGCCCCAGACCTTCCAGAGGACTGAGAGCTCCAGACCTTCCGGAGGACTGAGAGCCCAGACCTTCCGGAGGACTGAGAGCCCCAGACCTTCCGGAGGACTGGGAGCCCCAGACCTTCCGGAGGACTGAGAGCCCCAGACCTTCCGGAGGACTGAGAGCCCCAGACCTTCCGGAGGACTGAGAGCCCCAGACCTTCCGGAGGACTGGGAGCCCCAGACCTTCCGGAGGACTGAGAGCCCCAGACCTTCCGGAGGACTGGGAGCCCCAGACCTTCCGGAGGACTGGGAGCCCCAGACCTTCCGGAGGACTGAGAGCCCCAGACCTTCCGGAGGACTGAGAGCCCCAGACCTTCCGGAGGACTGGGAGCCCCAGACCTTCCGGAGGACTGAGAGCCCCAGACCTTCCGGAGGACTGAGAGCCCCAGACCTTCTGGAGGATTGAGAGTCCCAGAAGCAGCAGCCAGTGACACGTAACCGCCGATCACCGGAGTCTTAGCAGCGTCATGCCACACACCAAGCCACGCCACCGGTGAGACACAGGCCAGCACTTCACACGTCTGCACTGTGGAGGATTTGCTTAGAGAACAAAGCAGAGCTGGATGAAAACTCAAAAATGATTTCTCCATGTACTCATCCACATTGCTTTATAAACTCCAAACAGTTAGATTAAGAAAGCACTTTGGGGCCAGCACTGTGGCATAGTAGGTAAACCCACCACCTGCAGTGCTGGCATCCCCTATGCGCGCCAGTTCAAGTCCCAGCTGCTCCACTTCCAACCCAGCTCTCTGCTGTGGCCTGGGGAAGCAGTGGAAGATGGCCTAACTCCCTGGGCCCCTGCACCCATGTGGGAGACCCAGAAGAAGGTCCTGGCTCCTGGCTTTGGATCAGCCCAGCTCCAGCCATTGCAGCCAACTGCAGAGTGAACCAGCGGATGGAAGACCTCTCTCTCTCTCTCTGCCTTCTCTCTATGTGTAACTCTTTCAAATGAGTAAATAAATCTTTTTTAAAAATCATTTTAATTTAAATGTTAAAATGTTATGCAGAAAAAGCATGTAAAGATTAATTTTTAAAGCTATGTTAATGAAGTTATCAAATAACAGCAAAATAAAGCAAATCAAACAAGGAATTTCTGCTCTGGACACACAGTGAAACTCTGATGAACGTTACGGGAGTTAGAACAGCACAAGTTAATGTCACCATGCTAAAGGGTAGCTGTCCACGTGGCCATGAACCCCACCACGCTCTAGTGTAGTAGTCCACATGGCCGTGAACCCACCACGCTATGGTGCAGTAGTCCATGTGGCCGTGAACCCTACCACGCTATAGTGTAGTAGTCCATGTGGCCATGAACCCTACCACGCTATGGTGTAGTAATCCATGTGGCCGTGAACCCACC